AAGGGGGTGGGTAAAAGGGCGGGGAAGACAAAAATGGGGGGAGAGAAGAGGGAACAACGGGTGAGGGGAATTTTTTGGAATGTTGCGGGTTTGAAAAATAAGGAGACAGACTTCTGGGAGTTCTTAGGAAATTTTGAAATAATAGGATTGCTAGAGACGTGGATAGATGAAAAAGAGTGGGGGAAGCTAAAGGAAAAAATGCCGAAGGAATGGAGGTGGAAGTGTCAGCCAGCAGATAGGGATAAGAGAAGAGGTAGAGCGAAGGGGGGGATAATTACGGGAATAAGGAAAGAGATAGAGGAAAATAAGGAAGAGCTTGAAAGTAGGGAGGGGATACAAGAAAGAAAGATCATATTGAATGGGGAAAAGTGGAGAGTGGTGACGATTTATAATAGAGAAGGGAGAAAGAAGGGCTTAGAGGATATGCAGGAAGTTATAAAGGAAGAGGAAGGGGGGAAGATGGTGATGGTAGGAGATTTTAATGCAAGGATAGGAAAAGAAGGGGGAGTAAGAACTTTAAGTGGAGAGGAGAAAAGGCCGGAGGAGGGGAAAAGAGTATCAAAAGATAAAGTAATAAACAAACAGGGTAAAGAGTTGCTCAGAATGATAGAAGAGAGATAGAAGGGTGGATGATTTTAAATGGGGAAAAAGTAGGAGATGAAGGGGGAGAATGGACCTATAAGAGAACGGGGGGGGAGATCGGTGAGACTACGGAATTGCAAATTGGGAGGCATAGGAGAAGATAGATAGGTTTGAAATAGGATGTAGAATAGAGTCAGATCATCAGCCGATCATAATAGATTTTGGAGGAAGGTACGCGAGAAAAGAGGAAGTAGCAGATGAGGTAGGAAGGATACAAGATTGGTCAGAAGAAGGTATTAACATATATAAAGAAAAAATAGAGAAAATAGAATGGAAAGGGGAGGACGTGCAAGAAGGATGGGAAGAATTAGAATCGGAAATAAATTCAGCAGTAGTATGGAAAAGGACAGGAAAAAGAAGAGGGCTAGGTGGGAGCCCGTGGTGGGATAGAGAGTGCAGAGAGAAAAAAAGGGAGGTAAATAAAGTAAGGAAACGATATAGGGAAGGGGAAGAAAGGTGGGAAAATTTCATAAGATGTAGAAGGGAGTATAGGGAGGCTTGTAGAGTGAAGGAAGAATTACATAAAAAGAGAGAAGAAGAAGAAATAGAAAATATAAGAACTGAGTCACAAGCATGGAACTTTATTAATAAAGGAAGGAAGAAGAGGGAGGGGATAAGTAAGGAGATCAAAATGATAGATTGGGTAAATACTTTACAAAGGTGTTAGGAGGCGAGGAAGAAAAGAAAGAGGAATCGGGAATAAGGCAGCATATAAACAGAGTAGAAGGAGTGCAGATAAATGAGGAAGAGTTTAAAAATGAAATCAGGAGATTGAGGAAGGGTAAAGCAGCTGGTAGAGATGGAATTAAAAATGAAGCATTGATTTGGGGAGGGGAAAAGATTAGGAAAAAGTGTTGGGGTATTGTTAAAAAAGTATGGGAGGGAGAAGGTCTGCCAGAAAAGTGAAGAGTAGGGGTAGTGGTTCCCATATGGAAAAAGGGGGACAAAAATGTGCCCGGAAACTATAGAGGAATAACTTTAACAAGTATAGGGTATAAGATATACGCAAATATCCTGAATGAGAAGATTGTGCAGGATCTAGATGAGAGGGAGGGGTGGAGTAGATCACAAGGAGGATTTAGAAAGGGAAGAAGTATAGAGAATGTAAAGATCTTGCAGCATATAGTAGGGAAGAGAATAAAAAGTGGAAAAAAGGTGTGGGCGATGTTTATAGATCTGAAGGCAGCCTTTGATAGGATAGATAGAAAGATTCTATGGGAAATGATGAAGAAAAGAGGTATAAGTGAAGATCTAATAGATAGGGTACGGGAGATATATGAAGAAACGAAATTTGTGGTGAAGATAGGAGAGGAAATGTCAGGAGAATATCGGGTAGAAAAAGGAGTAAGACAAGGATGCCCTTTGAGTCCCACCCTTTTTAATATATATATAGCGGATTTAGAAGAAGAACTAAGGAAAGGAATAGGGGGGGTCAGAGTTGAAAGAGACAAGGTCTGGTCGTTAGAATATGCAGACGACATTGTGATATTCGCGAAGGAGGAGGGGGGGCTAAGAGCAATGATGAGGGGTGTAAAAGGGTATCTAGAAAGAAAAAAATTAGAGTTAAGTGTGGAAAAATCGAAAGTGATGGTATTTAGGAAGAAAGGAGGAAAAGAAAAAGAAAGGTTCTGGTGGTGGGGGGAAAAACGGATGGAAGAGGTAAAAGAGTACATATACTTGGGGTATGTGATAACACGATATGGAGGGGAAAAAGAACAAGTAAGAGATAGGATAAGGAAAGCGACGATTGCGATGGGATGGGTGTGGGGGTATGGGGAAAGGAAATTTAAGGGAGATGTACGATGGAGACTCAAACTCTTTGATAGCATAGTGAAGGGGATATTATACTACGGAGTGGAGATATGGGGTTATAGGGAGTGGAAGGAAGTAGAGGCCCTGCAAGAAAAGTATTTGAGATGGATCCTAGGGGTGGACAGAGTAACACCGGGATACATAGTGAGGGAGGAATTGAGGAGGAATAAATTGAGAATAGAGACGGGGTGGAGAGCGGGAAGGTATGAGGAAAGATTGGAGAAGGGAGAGGGGGGAGAGATAGGGAAAAGATGTATGCTGGAAAGGAGAAAGAATGAAAGAGAAGGAGAGATGAGTATGTGGACAGAGGAGAGCATAGAGAGAAGAGATTATTTGTGGAGGGGGGGAGTAAGTCAGGAAGGGATGAGTGAGTGGGGAGTAGACAAATGGGAGCGTGTGAGAGAGAGAGATATAGAGGTAGATGAGCAAGTGAGAGGAGAGAAAGTAAGAGGATCGAGGTTGTGTGTAGATTATAAAAGAGTAAATGATTTAAGAGCGCCGGAATATATAAGGAAGATAAAAAGAAATGAAGGGAAAAAGTTATAAATGATTGCGAGATGGCGCTGTGGAAATGAAGTGAGAGGTAATAGATATTGGCAGAGTGAAGAAGATAAAAGATGTAGGCTGTGTGAAAGAGAAAAGGAGGAAATAGACCACTTGAAAGAAAAATGTGTGTATGTAGAAAAAAAAGTAGGGAGAAACTTTGATGTGCTGAATGAAGACGGTAGAGGACAAGAATGGATGAAAATGATAAAGAAGGTGAGACAAGATAGAGAGAGAGAGAGAGAGAGAGAGAGAGAGAGAGAGAGAGAGAGAGAGAGAGGGGAGAGGGGTACTGGGGGTATAGCGTGTCGTTTTTCATTTTGCCCATTGTTCGCCACACAATTCAGGAGCCTATTATGGTTGTTATTCTTTCGGTCCTCGACAGCTTCGCCCGCGGTGTATATGTGCCGCGACAGACAACCGTACTGACATTTGTGCACCGATACGTTATTGCGTTTCGTTGCGGTGCAACAAGCGGTGCAATATACTGTCCGATGTCGCTTCTCTCCCGGATCTGCAAATCCCGCATCGAAATCTATTCGTGTTTATTTACGTTCTCCTTGTATTTTACGATTTTACACCAACACTACGTCTTCCTTCGACACGCGTTATTAATGCTGTTATCATCGGTCGCGGTCAATTAACGATATAGCGAAAGGATAAAATATCTTACATTGATAAACTTTACTTTGCACTGATAAATTTTTCTTGATAAATGTGTTTCGCTTCGAAAGCTGAATTTGCGGTGAACGCAGCATCGATTGTAGTTAACCTAGTTAAAGCAAGTTTCGAAATTTTTAAGTATACGTATACGATTACTATTCAATCCGAATTAAATTTCTAATAATAATTTGACTAATCACAGCTACAAAAATTGATCGCGAGAAGAGTATTAACATAAGTAGATACAGTCTTACAGTTCCAACTGTACAATTAAAATTAAAGCGTCGTGAATAAATGCAACAGAGATGAATAAAATTTGCATATCATTACGTCGCGTGGCTAAAACACATGTTAATTCAATGTAAGCCTCGTTAATTTTATTTTGAGGAAAGATCAGCTTTATGCCAAAGCTTTATATTAAAGTAGTTAGCGCAAAAGAGAAAGAGAGAGAGAGAGAGAGAGAGAGAGAGAGAGAGAGAAAAGAATCTCACACCACCAACGTCGTGTAACTTGTTGTTTCCCTCCGATTTCACTCCTCATCCTCTGCATTCTGTTCCTCGTCGATTCAACTGGATGTTTCGTACACTCACCCATCGGCTACGACAAGCATGTTGTATCGGTGTATAAGCGTCCGTCCGTTCCTCCATGGTATACGGGAGGGGAACTCGGAATGGGTGAGATTTACGAGCTATGCGGGAGAACCGATGTACACACAGCTACGCACGCGAAACTCACGAACGGCGACGCGCGCGACCGTAGGCACTCACGCTTTTTCTATAGTTCGGTGATTAAACAGTTTAATATCACAAATACCGGCCAGGACAATGCCACGTGGTATGAGGCGCGGCGTACAGCAACCCCCTCGCAGACAGGGTGGACCTTTATTGTCCTGATTCGTGCACTGTTGTCCCATCACTTAGCGTCACGGAACTTTCGGATTTAAACGTCCTTTTTTTCTACGCGACAACGTGCCCCAGTATTTATTACTTAATATTATCTTTTTTTCTGTTGCCAAAATTGGTTAGGAATTTAAGATTCAATCAGAGTAAAGGATTCAAAGTATCGAAAATATATAGAGGTGGATGTTCAACATATTGATTTTTACATAAAAAGCGTCAGAGGGCGTTTCTATAATAATTAAAATAATATTATATTAAATGTATGAAAATCTGAGTTATGCGGTTATACGAATATAAATCCTTTAATATCGAAAATTTAATGCACAACATTTATAGCTATCTTTGTATTTGTCATAAAGTAAACATAAGCTCTCTCACGATGCTACGCATAAAGTTAAGCCGCGGCAAATTTTGTAAACTATATTACTGTGTGTTGCGAAAAAAGTATATAAAATAAAAAAAGAAATTTTTTATTATAGCGTTTTATACGCATATGGAACAACGCAAATCGCAAAAGTTTCCTAATCAAGCTAGCAAGGCTTATTTTTGCTTT